ACAGCCTCAAAGGCTGTGCTCAAGAAAGCCAGCGTGGAATTCCGCGTGCCATAACAGTATAAATAAATTGATTGATCATATCTTTGGGGGCCTCCCTTTTAGTCCAAGAGTCAACCACTGCTAACGCCCCGATTCATTTACTCCCGTTGATCCTTTTTGTTTTCAGGGAGGACCCCCACTTCAGCTATGGCGTGTTCCGTGGTTGAAAACATCGCGTGCCGAGTCCTTGGATTAGTCAAGATGCAACTGGCAATCCGAAGTATGGAAGCTGCATGAGGGATGATGGTGGAGTTTGCCCTTGTGACTGATAGCCAGTGCTTTGTCTACTTTCACATCCAGAAGTTTCAGGGGCGAATTCGATGACATCCACCCTCCCACCGCACCGTGACACTGCACAGCTAAGATAAGCAAGTGGAGCTAAGACTGCACGCTCTGTACTCTTTAAAGGCATGTAGAACCTGGGATAGCATCACTTAGATACACTCAGACTATAACAATCTCTCATCGATTCGCCAAGATTTTGATTAAGGTGACAGCAGAAACTTGCAGATCGAGTTTGGCTCACAGCTCCAGGGTGAGCCTCGGTGAGCCCCTGACCTGTTTGGGGATACCAAGTGAATTTGCTGGAGAAAGTTAGCTTAATAAAATCCGTGGGAACCCACCTGTGAGTGTCCAGTTCTTGGGCTGTGATTTCACCGTACTTCACCTGGGCGCTCCAAGATTTCAGAAGCATTGATGCCCCTTTTTCTGGCATGCTGTCTTTCGTCCTGGAGTGTGGCGAGGTTTCACCTTGTTTGCATCAGTAGGTCACTGGATGATTTGTTCCGCTACGAGGAGACCCCAAGAAATGGAGAGCAGGCAGACACATCTTCCAACCACATGCAAGTGTCAAAAAGGACTCCAAAACATGAACACTGCATATTATACTCAACCCTTGATCTTTCCTGCCAATCATCCGCAATCTCTATCTCTAATTTCGACTTTCTCCGAACTAACATTCTTTTCGACTGAACCAAGTGAAGAAGAAGCGTCGAAACAGTCCAACATGGAGCCGCGTTGTAGCGGCCGGCGGAACGAGAGCCACTCCGTGTCTTGGAATCCACGGCGGGTAGACGAGCGAGACGAGCTAGGGAAGGGGGGGTTCAGAAAGGGAGGGGAAGGTGGGTGATTCTCGTGACATCTGAATGTTTTTTAGCTTTGTCTGGTGACAAAATGACAGAACCAACATGTGGAAGGCACAAACATAAGACACATGCGGGCTTTTTTTTAGTGCGACATGTGCGTTTGACATGCATGGTCCGCTGGTTCCTAGTTACTTGGTAAGAACATGAAGTCTACAGACGTTCATGTTCCACAGGTCTTTCACACACGAACGGAGCAAGGAAGCTACGTTTGTAGCTCCTGGCACTACTAGTAGCAAGAAGCTACTGTAGTAGGAACAAAGGGCATCGTTACGAACGGAGCTACTAGTCCATGTCATTTCAAGGTTTCTCACGTTGTCCTTGCACAATCTCAATCATGGTTTTCCGGTCTTCGCAGATCGGTTGAGGCGTTCGGGACGCACAAAGGACGCTATGTGGATCTTGAAACGTTGGAACGCACTCTTTTCCAGTGCATCTACAATTGACAGCTTTGAGCATCTTCATGCCAGTTCCCAAAAGAATTCACGGTATGATGTTGTTCTCCTGTTCCTCAGCGCCCATGTTTCACGGTTATCTCACGGGGTAGAGACCATCGTTCACGGGTAGGGACCGCCGTTCACGTTTGTTTCAAGGTATCTGTTTTACTAAATGCTGTCGGTGCAGCATTCTGACCTTTTCTGTTCATTGTGTTCCATTAGGATGCCTTCCCCCATGCGCTCTACTTGTGATCTTCCCAACCATGGAACATCTTGCAGTGCACAGATTCCAGCAACTTTGCGGAACATGGTCAAATAATTAAAATAAGATAAATCAAGTTCATGGATGTCTTACCAATTCGCAAAAAAAAACAATCACGTCAGCATTAAAGTCCTTGACAAAACCTCGAGAACCCCAATGATCAAGGGAATGGAGTCGTTTTTTCTAGAAGGTTCCAGTAACCAGCGTCGTTGACTCACTGGGGTTGTTGCGAAAGAAGCATTGGGTAAAGATGAGAGAAGCTCATGAACACATCGGTCAGTGCACATTCAGAATGATCACAGCTTAGCCAGCTGAGCCAACTATCAGGGAGGTTGAACACGAGAAGCCTCCTCTTGCCTCAACATGCACAGGAGTTTTTTTGCTTGTACCTCTACTCTAGTTAGGCGACTTAGAAGTATACTTACGCTACTATCACCACAAGTAGCATAAGTAGCAAGTTGAGTCTTCCACGGTTGGATGATTTCTGTGAGCATATGTCACATACACCAAGGGTTGTCATGTCCTCTCCAAAGTCATTACCGCCGAAGGCCCGCTCCGCCCTTGCGTTGTGACTCCGCAAGCTTTGAAGGAAGCTGGCTTTGGTGCTGTTCATTTGAGGAAATGCATCCTTAGAGCCTTAGATGTGATGAAAACTCATGCACATACTGCTCTCCCAGATTGGTGCATGTGAAGATTCGCTTGTAACAGATACGTCAGACAATTGGGTCCTGAACGACGGATGTTGAGGACATTTGGCTCTACACCTTCCTAGCAGCTGTGGAGGTATTTTGTGTCTATGTGTGTTCTCACATGGATTTTTTTCTTTCCCCCCCCCTCCGTTTCGTTATCCTTGAAGTGATCCCCCTCCGTTTGAGGCTGGGTGTCAGGAGTTGTCCCGGTGTTGTCCGCAAGAGTCGGGCGAAGTTGTCAGCATCACATGGAGGGGAACCACCTAAGGTGAAAGGCCTCATCCAGAGCGACATCAGTCAGATCAGCTGCTCCTCCCCCCGCCAGGAGCGTCATTTTTTGGCGGCGTGGGCCTGGGGAAGGGATGAGAGAAGCGATCTATTAACAGCAGAGGATGAGACAGCGGTTTGGCCACAGTCCAGTGTTGAGGGGATGTTCGGAGGCTCCAGTTTTTCCGTTTGAGGATTCAGTTCCATAAGGGGCAGAGTGAATTCTGGAAGGTGAACATAAAACAAGTTGTGAATGACGATCATTCTATATGTAACAATATTCATTTGGGGATCGATAGTATATAAATGCTGAAGTTCTTGGCTGGACACCAGTAGGTTTCGTCACTGTTGCTGCAAGAGAGGCTGGCGACCAGCTGGCTCGGAATCCATCTAAGAGGTGCTGCATTGTTTATTGCTACTGAAGAAGCCACTTCCAAGAGCGCTTTCAGAAGTCCCCAAGCCTAGCCAGGTGGAAGGCATTCGGTGATCGACCAGAGCTGAGATCTCATCACGACAGAGAAGTCGCACTGGGCTTTCAAGGGTCTTCCGCATGTTTGTATCTTTGCGAGTCTGAAGTCCCGTTAGCACTGCCTATTGGTTTCGAACTATTGGCTAACTACATGGTTTTGGACCTGTTTTCGACATCATGAAATCTGGTCCTGAATGATAGGGCTACTGCTAATGCGATTCTGCTAGATTCTAGAAGAAAATCCGTGGATGTTCGCCTATTCCGATCAAAGCCGAGGCTGTGTTCGCGAAATCTCTCCCTGCCCCCCTCAACCAGGAGCCCTGGTACAGCCAGTGCCAGCTCACCAAAGGCGGATCGGAGGGTTAGGAGATCAAACCTGAAGAAAGTAGCCTTGTTAACCAGGAGTCACATGGAGTTGGGTGGTTTTTGGTCCCATCCAGTGAGTGGATAATGGGATGATAATGGGCCCCTCTATCCTCCAACAGGCACCCCTTTGTGACTGCTGGAAGGAACATGTTTCAATTACCTGGAGTCTCACTTCGTACCTCCGAATATGGGGCCCCAGTCGTACTAGTAAGTACCGGTTGTCATGTCTCATTTTCGAGGACAATGTAGATTCTTGATCATAGTTCAACCCCCCAGTAGTGAAGAGGTTTCACGATCCATGTTTCGGGGGGGTCAATAAAAACCAACAACTATAGAGTCTATACGTTACTTGAGGTTGAGTCCAGAAAGGAGCCTCTTTTTGTACTCTCCCCCAAAAGTCATTGTCATTGAGACATCAGTTTTGACGAGGAGATCATATTCATGCTCACGTTTGAGTGCAACTTGGAAACAACATGGTTCAATATGCTTCAATTCACATGAACAGTGGGCAGATATACTTGCACAGTCCGCAGTGCCGCACACATGACGCTAGCAAAAACTTGAAATTCTCTAGCTAGACTTGGAACGTATCTGGCAGATTCCGAGTTGCCGTCATTCGGCATCCCGGTTGTTTGGGCCATAGGGTTCTATAGTTTTCCACGGGCAAACCTTGGCAAATTTGCTGCAGGTCAATCGAAGAATGCAGGGTCCATTGGCTGTGTGTTTTCTTGTGGCACCATCCTGCTTGTTCACTGTGTTGTGCGCCATCCAGAATATGTTTTGTCAATGTCCATGGCATTCTTCTCATGTAGCTTTGCTTTTGAGCTATACCTGGACTGGACAGGTGTTTTCACCAAACGCGTAGCAGGGGTGGGAGGTTGGAAAGTGCTTTCACAACATCATCCATCTGCCCAAAGCAAGAGGTGTGTATATATATATATATTTGCCAGATCTCTTGGGCGATGCAAAACTCTTGTTAGATGGTCAGAGAAGAGAAACAGCGCAGCAATCGCCCTTGCGAACAGGACATGACACCACGTTTTCGTCCACCGGATCAATTTTTGGTGGCAAATGTGTGGCTCTCGCCATCCAATCTCCTGCCTCAGCAAATTGGCGCACCTCGAGCATCATGGAATCATCTACTGCAGCTCCTGCAGTTACCCAGGATGCCAGTTTGGGGTTAAGCCCTAGGGCTAGAGCATGGAGATACATCCAGTCTGATGTATCCAAATACTTCAGTCATGTGTGCGACAACCAGTGGGCCAGTGGCTTATGAATTGTTGCTGATGTCTTATTGTCCTTTACCTACCACAGTTTAGCCGTTCAGTCCTGTCCAGCTCACCCAGAACTTCCGGGAATCCGGTCTTTCACAAGCTCCGCACCGGCCAGAGCTACCACTGCCCGGCGGCTGGCCGTCCTTCATCTTCCCCCGGCACCGGCGGCTTCGCGGTGTCGCCGGGGATGTCGAGCTTGGAAAGTCCAGGTGTCGAGAGCTCCGGCCACTTGGTGGATTTGGGGTGAGAGAGAGATCTTCGGGGCGGGTGGACCCGGGTGGAAGCAACCCGAGTGTAGCACTACTCAGATCTGTGGCCCGCAGTCAGTGCCGCCGCCTGCGTGGTTGATTTGGGGTGAGGAACCCAACCTTCCTATGCCATCTGAGCCCAAGCATGGTAGGTTGATCCCTTATGAGACATAATATAGACTAGAGTGACTAGAGGAACCGGTTCATTTTCAGAGGTCAACCGACCAGAGTGTCTCGGTTTTGACCCACAGTCCTGGTTGGACTACACTACGTATAGGAACCTCCATTGGACACCCAATTGAATGGTCCTGGCACGGTTTAACGGTCAGTTTACCTCACCCCCCTTGTTGCTTCAAAATGGAAAGAGGTAATTCGGGGGCGGACTCTCCTCTCCTCTGACCATCCCCTGGATGAGTGCCAAATTATGTTGAGTCTATATACTCCGTCAAAGAAAACTGACCTGATGTATATAACTGAGAGGCCAGTATTCTTTTGATGTGTATATAAATAATACGTATCATTTAATGATTTCTGACCTCTCTGCCAAATGGCAATCCTCGGTTTTGACCACAAATAAACCTGCTATTATTCCAAGTGTAAGATGATTGCATAAGGTGAGTGTTCAGCTTTCGCAATGGCCTTTGCTGCAAGTATTTTCCGCGTTGCGTATCACCATCCACCTCCTGGCCAAGCCTTGTGGAGATTGTGGACACCAACACCACTCAGCAGGTTTTGTTTCATCAAGAAACGCTGGGAGTGCATTGCTGATGGTTGCTGATACATGACTCCCAACACCAGTAGTGGATGAGCAAGACTGTTTCTTCCAACCTAGGTGTACGCCGTGTTCCAGGGCCCCACGCATAGGGCCGATCGACAGGGTGAGGAGGTGTTCAAAGCGTGTTTCTCGGACGACAGATCACTCCCTTTAGGGCATGCCTTCAAGGGTGGAGGCCATCGCTACTTGGTTGGAGGCCATCGCTACCTTCTCAGAGTAGGTTAGAACCCTCCAGGTGACTCTCAAAGTCGGACCTTCTCGAAGTGAGTCTTCACTCACTCACAGTACTCGGATCGAGACCGAGTATGTGATCCGATAGTGGCGGCGGTTTCTACGAAAAGTGGGGATCTACTTGTACCGTCAATGTCTATCTATCGCGGAGGGTCAGCATGCGTTGTTTTATGTTTTTCATGTTTTGTCCGTTCCTTCTCCAAGGTTATTCGCCCAGCGAGACTTCCTGGCATGTGAAATCCCACCAGGAGACCGGTTTCGCGGGCCCAGATGGTCCGATTTGGTCGTTGCATTGGATGGGTGGGATGTAAGAGAGGTCGTTGTTGATCTTGTTTAAATGTGATCTACCCTTCTCATGGTTCTAATAGATCAAGATAGATCAAGTGAAGTTTGGTGTTATCCGTTGGATGTAACTAAACAACCAATTGATTAAACCATGGATTAAGTGGAGTTTGGATTGATTCTTCCATTGTTCAATGTTGAACGTTGTGAAATTGGAACTACCAGCCTTACACTCAAACCTTCGCACAGACAGGGGGACCTTGGCACAGAGCACTGTGAGGGACATGTGTGAGGTTCCACTCCTGTGTTGGCACCATGCATTAATATGCATTGAGATCCTGAGATTCGCACCAACAACAAATGGAACCCACAAGTCAACATTTGGATTCACTGGGTGCCAGCCCGATCTCTTCACATACGAAACCGACTTCAGGCGAGCCTGAAGTTCCGGAAATTCCTCAGGCTTAGACTCAGCCAGGCAGCTACTAGTAGCTAGAAGCTACTAGGTTGGAGGCCATCGCTACTAGTAGCTAGAAGCTACTAGTAACATCTAGTAACTGCAAAGCCTTGTTTCTGAAAGCCCCGGCTCCGCTCCGTCGCAGGACTATGAAGCTCCTCGTCGCTCAGTCTACGGGAACCAGTCGCTGGGCGACATCGCGTTTTTTACAGCGGAGCAACGACTTTTGGAGGTGGAGGAGAGGTTGGTTGTTGGTGTGGCATCTTGTTGGTTGCTGGAGGAGAACAAGTACGCATGTTTCAGGCTTTTCCTGTCCAGGTTCCACTTCAGAGTGACCGGTTAAGTCTTGTGGAAGTGCTAAAGGCATGTCTTATGCTAGGGGTCTCTTCAAATGTTTGAGACTGTGTATCTGTGTTGGAGGAACGCAGAAGTACTGAAAACAAAGCACATGCCATAGGTGTGTCGAACACAAGTTTGTCTCGTGCTGCTGACTATCTGACTATCTGAAGTAGGATTCTCTATCTTGCTCGAGAAGAAGACCCGCATTGGCAGTATGGACGGCTTTTTTTGGGGCTCATAGATGATGAAAGACACCGGTGCATACCAGTGTTCCAGTGACTTCGTGAAGTCACAGTTTACCGTCACAATTGTTTGAAGGAGCTGAAATGGTACGGGACTTACTGAGGCTTTGACCCATGCAGCCGGAAGAGCGCTAGGAAATCGGAAGAGCAGTAAAGCGGTTTTGTAGCCTTCCGGTCAAAACCGGTGACAGATGCAGTAAGCTCCCGCTCCTGACATGTGGACCGAGACAGATATCGAGGCAATTTGATCCACATTGATCCATCCTCCTTGGGCTTTGACAGATCAAGCCGCCCACGGCATGCCGCGCGAGCTGTGGTGTGAGGTATGCTGAGCCAGAGGGGCGTGACCGAATGTACAAGTCCAGTTTGCCCTTTGATTCTGGCCCAAAGGCAGGGAGATCTCTGGGAAGTTCGGGTGGCAAGGGATGGCTGTGTTTTGGCCGTGTGGGCATGCAATTGTTTTTTTTTTTTTCCCCAGGCAATGGTTGTGTGGGGAATATGCTCCATTTGGCCCAGACAGGCTGATGCTGAAACTTGGGGCACTTTCATTTTCAAGCATCCACTTCAAAGATCTTCAAGCAGAAATGCCGACCCCTACTGATTTGAGTTGGATTGCGGAACCTGGGACACATGGACTCTCAACCAAGCGAGACCCACCCTCCACTGGCGCATCGAAAAAGGGACGGCACCGGCACCTTACGCGTCATTTTTGGAATCAGATCCTGGAAGCCTCCCTTCAACAGGAAGAATGCTTCCCAGCCAAGCTGCTTGCCGATCCGATTTTGTTTCAACGGCCTTAGCCGTTCCCTGTTTTGTACGAATCTAGAACAGACTGCAACACACACCGTTAGGTGCACATGTGTGTACACATGTGTGTCCGATGCCATGCCGTTCGTGATCAGTCAGTTTGAGCAATAAGCTGTAAGCTTTTATTGGAGCATAAGGTCTGAACTATCGATCATGCTCCACGGTGAATTATGATCACTTGCATACAAGCCGCGATCCTGGCAGCAGCGTGACTTCAATACAGACCCTGGGTGTGAGATCTACAGTATATAACAGAAGGAAAGAGACGGAAGGAAGGAAGGAAGGAAGGAAGGAAGAGGAAGTGGAATTGGAACCACCACCCACAGACCACCCGATGAATATTCTGCAAAAATTGAAGCAAGGGCAGCGGACTCCTCTAAAGATCCGCATACTTTTTGAGGAGCTGGTTGGAGATTTATCAGGTGCTTTTTGAGGTCCAACATGTTCCAAAATCCTTTGACGTACCCAGAGTTTTGAAGGACCTGAAAGAGAAGATCTTTGTGCATCTTACAAATTCAGATCCAACACCTGAAGAGGGATTCCTCTTTCACCAAGAAGACATCCACCCACCAAACACGCCAGAAGATCTGTTGGCGACTTGCCGAATCATATGCGCATGGGGTCACTTCAGAAACCAACCAAGAAACCAACACCGTTGGGACGACATGAGAACGCCAGCCATCCAGGTGGGCCCACTGGATCGATCCCCGATGGGAGCGCCAGCCACCGGGCAGTAGAGCAAGCAGCCCAAACAGTAGACGGCTTGAGAAGTGCCAAAAGAGCAGTGGTTTTGTTGTTGTTCTCAATGTTTTGCTTTCTGCCATGGTGATTGGGGACACGGAGAATCCCTCGGGGACTCTAAGCTGCTACAGATGGTTTCACCATTTCCACTATGGAATGGGGCGACAGGATCTCACCATGGAAATGCACACCGGGAACTCTAAGCTGCTACAGATGCTTTCGCCCCATCTTTCTTCCAAAGTCCATCTCACCAAAGATGACTCAACAGGGCAACTTGAACTCTGTGCTCGGAACAGTTCACCCAGGTCGTAGCCAGTGTTTTCGAGGAGCAACAGGCCATGAATGTTCAGTAATTTGCCCTTTTATATGGTTCCAATTGGTTCCAGTGTTCCCAGTAATTCTAGTAAAAATTGTGAACATATAATTGTATGTCCAATGGAATTACTGCAGTGTATTGGAATACTGCAGTAAAACAATATTACAATTGGAACAACATTCCAGTAAAATACTGCAGTGTATTTTCAATGTTTGGGTAGGAGCAAGGACACTACTAGGGACTCCTGGCCTTACTACTAGGAGCAAGAAGCGACTAGGGGCTCCTGGCATCGCTACTGGGAGCGATCGGACGCTACTAGGGGCGTTTCACACCGCTTAACCTCAGGTCTTGGCGCCTTCCTCGAAGAGCTCCGTCTTGGCGGAGCTGGGCACGGGCAATGCGACGAACCCGGAGGCACGCTCCGGTGATCGTACACGAACCGCATCAAACGTGACTCGATATACTCAAGGGACCAGGGTTTCACTGGGTCAGACTGGACCTGCCATGGGGTGCCTTTCTGTGCTATAACTCAATTTTGGCATGAACATAAAGGCCACATGTTGGACACTCTGTGAGCTCTACCTGGCGAGTTCAAAGACGGTCTCAAAATGTGTCAAACAACAATGATGGGTTTCTAGCTCACATAGGGAGACCTCCCAGTCAACGAGCTGCTGGAAACTTTGTTTTCATGATTGTCCATACCTGTCCAATTCTTTCCATGGTTCCCAATAATATTGGTCGCCATGCGTTCTGTGAGCGTAATTTTGACGAAAGCTATATCCAAAAGGCAAACCTCCAAACTCAACACTACAGTGACACCCCTGGATTCCAGATGGCTGTCCTTCATCGCCAGTCCCAACCTGCCCCTCCCCAGCATAGATTGCAACATGATGTCGCCAGTTGGATTGATGCTTACCTTTGGCAACCCTAGTCCAGTCATGACTCATTTTACCCCCAGAAGCCAGCCTGGTGCGCGAATGACCTTCTTCCGGTCCTTGGGTCCTTTATGAGTCAAGTTCGCCCCGTCGACCCACCGATTCCCCGACCGACCTTCCGGTGGGCGCGCCAGGACAACCACCGCCGTGGACGGTCCGACATGAGTGGCTTGGACGGATGGGCAGAAAGGGAACGCAGTGGAGCGTCTCATGAGTCCGAGTGTCGCATGAGGGGCTCAGTGATAAGTAATAGCCATGCTACCCGGGATCAATCAAAGTAGAGATAGAGAAAACCCTCAGTTTTGAAAAGATGTCAGTGGGCTAGTTGCGCGATACGTCGAATCACTTTGTGCATTTGACGCTCTTAATGGGCCTTCAAGGTGAGAAGAGAGCGGATGGCTGAACTCACAACTTTCAACAGTTTCCCTAGGGCTCCAGTCGTACCTTCTGAGGTTGGGTGTTTGGGGTGAGTTTGCAGGGTCCAAAAAACCTGTTGAGGAGGTACGACTGGAGCCCTAGGGTTTGTGCAACTTGACTTATTTTTTGATGTTTGTCGAGGTGTAGAGAGATTTTGGAGATGGTTTTTGGGGATTTCACTTTGAATGTCTCTGGTTTTCTCGGACCTGGTTTGAGCCGCTCGTGACCGAACGGGGGAGAGCCCAGTCCGGACACTCAAGTTCTGTAAAAGCCCTGGTTGAAGAAGGTAGCACATTGGTTTCTAATTAAATTCTAATGGTTCTAGTAGCCTTCTTGCTCCTAGTAGTAAGGCCCTTTGCTCCTAGTAGCGATGCACTTGTTCCTAGTAGCATATTGGTATAGCATATTGGTCCCTAGGTTCGACCGGGACGGATCCCTACCTTGGAATCGCGATTGAAGGTTGAGGCGGCGACATGGACTCTGCAAGAGCGGAGTCTGATGAAACAGCCCAACTCGATTAGCGCAAAGGATATGGACCTTCTCCAAGCTACTCAACAGAGTTTGGAGCATAGTCATTGGCAGAAAGCCTCAATAGAAGCTGGTTGTATTCCAAGCTGAAAACTGAAAACGAACAGGATGCCGCAGAAACCCATGATTGCCCTTTAATATGTTAGACGCATATGCTCAGTTTAAAGACAAGTGGGGATGCGGGATATCCTGCATGGACATGTTCTCAAAACTTACTACACTAGTCGTTCAAACTGGTGGTTTCGGAGTTACGTAGTGTGAACTAATCATTTACGTTACGGGTTACGTGTATGCCGTATTCTGGCCCAGCGGCCTAGCGGTTTGGATGCATATAAGAATGAAGACAAAACACAATCTAGACTATACTCTAGCAATTTCACCGGAAGTTACCATCCAAAAAGCTGAAGTAAGAAGTCTATGGCACCAGGCATCAAACCTGCGAGCAGTAGTAAAAAGATATCTTGAGAAGATAATGCAGTGTAGGCACGTATCCAACATACAAAATCGCTGTGGCATCCTCGTTTGTTCGCTTGCGCTTTGACAGAAGCTTAGTTGGAGGAATTTCCACACAACCTACCCTTCTTCCCAATGCGTTTGCAGTAGTGGAAATCATGTCAGAGTACTCGCAGCCACACCAAGTGTCTCCTCTCAATGTGAGAATTCCACTAGAAGCAACTATATAGAGTAGATAGAGTTGCTCAAGTCAGTCCACTTCCCAATGAGATCCCATTCCATGACATATAGCTTCTACCAACAAGTCTAAAACATGTCTTCGGCAAAAGAATGATCTTCCCAATCTTGTTTGCAGGCATTAAGGTTACTATTCCGAATTCGGACAGTGTCTTAGACCGTTATTTAACTCTTTGGTCGTACCGTTTTGTCAGATATTCTATTCTTTCACTGGTACATGGTGACCTCCCTTGAAGGCTGGTGTCCCATGGGTCTGCAGGTCTTCAGACCCTGTTTCCCTGTTTCACGTGTGAAGGCGCCACGTATCCTTGATCCTTACTTCTGGTTTTGTTAGATGGTCTTTTTCCCCACACAGCTGCAAGCTAAAGGAGTTCTTACTTCCCAATGGTGTGGCTCTGGATTCGGATCGGCGTTTCGTTTTGCCCGTGCTGGTGCTGGTGCTGGATCGGCTTTTCCTGGGGGCGTGCTGGTGCAGGTGTTGGTGCGGGTGGCATGCTAGGGATGACATCATGGCATGGCTAGGACGATATCCTCTCATATTGTGTCCGACAAATTGAAGCATGTATTGCCTTGTGGTCATAGCTTTGCCTTGTGGCACTTGATACACACGCTATTTGGGGTCTAGTCTATGCTGGTGTAATTAATGGATTTGGTGCAGAACATCTTCACCTCGTCAAGTCAGACAACCTGACGGGAGATGTCGTTGGAGTGCTCGGCTTTGTGCGGTCCATCCATCTGGTGTGTCGGCTTCGGGCGTCGTCGTTGTCAAGCAGCAAAGTGGCGACTTTTGGCCAACCAACTCGCCACAAAGAGAGATTTCTATTCTGGAGTGGTATTTGTTGATGTAAACATGCTGATTGGTATCGTTATCGTTCGTGTCAGAGTGGGCCGTTGGCCAAAGCATTAGTGCCGGGTCTAACTCCTGATCGCTCTAGACCAGCTGCCTGGGGCCGGCCTGGGCCGTTCTTTTGTTGTTCATGCGCCCCTTCTGTCCGACCTGTCCCAGACGTCTGGCTGGGTCCTGAAAAATGGTCTTGAATTTGCTTCTACACAGCCTGCTCCTAGAATCCTAGAAGAAGATTCCAAGAAAACATGTCTACCAGCACAATGGATCCCTAAGAAAACTGATGGATTCACCAAAATAACCACCCCAATGCAAACTGTAGGCCTGTAACGCTGCTGAGGAAACCGCTTTTCCCAAGGTACTATTCCCATGGACTCTTTGGGAAAACATGGCTGTGGGCCGTGGGTCAAAACCCAGAGCACCAAACCAGGGAAGGTTGACCTCCCAAGGTGTTTTTGGGATTGGACCCGTGCACTGCACATCACTGTCCCCAAAAAGAGACACCCACGGCGGGCGCTCAGAATCGCATTTGCGGAGCGACTGGTGCCCGAAGACCACTCAAGTGTTGGAGGAGAAGATGGAGGCTGGCAGCAGAGAGGTGGGAGTTGGAATTGGAAAGGATCCAGAAGCTCAGCCAATAAAGCCATGTGCATTCTTTATGCACTTTGGATGCTGGTTGTATATTTCTGGCAAGTCTTGCGAATCGTTTCCAGTATTTTGATGCATTTTGAGGCTTAGGATTCAGAACCTGACAGCTCCCCTAACCAAAACGTTGTGACATGCTGCAGCCTGGGTGTCCAGGATGATTCCGTTCACTGAAACTGAGACTATTGTTTTGCAGTGAACTGATTGCAAGTGCCGTATGTATATTCGTAGAAAATGCGCCCTTGCAAGAAATTTGCTTTGAGCAATAACTTCAGTACACCCGGGAAGAGATCCACATGGAACCTGATGGCGACCTGCAAGGAAGACGAACGCTTCCTCCACAAGACCACTTGGTTCACTTTTGTGGCTTGTTCACCAAGGGGAAACCTGCTAACAACAAGTGCTTCAGTGAACTTCAGTGCTTGCTTTGCTCGTGGTCCTTTTGAAACACGACACGTTTGGATGCCCAGCTTGGAGGGACGAGGGACGTTTCGGTTCGTGTGGATGGCTTGGACTCTGATTCGATCTCGTGGATGTGTGTTTCGATTCAGCGAAGCAAGGACGAAGCTCAAGCAGACTCAAGCACTTATAAGGGTCACCTATAAGGATCGAGAATATGTTTTTAAGCACCTTCTGATTCCATAGATGGGTCATGATGGGTCATTTCGCTGTCCTCCCGGCTTTGGGAACCCAACAAACCACCTAATATTACTAACTCAACCTCACCGTCCGGATGCCGCGTTTCGTTGCAGACCCCGGAGGCCTCCTGGGTGAAGCGCCCCACCGTGAAGGCGGCACCGAAGGCTGGTTGGAGCAAAGTCTCACCGCCCAAGCAGGCGCGGCCGAACGCCACGCGCTGGCGAACGTGCGGGTTCCGCGGCGGGGAACCCGTGGAGGGTGAGAGAGTTTGGAAGGATAGGTCTTATGGCCCAAGGGTGAAGGGAGAATGATTGTGTGGACGTTTTCGGTCAAGCAATGAGAAGTAGACAGGCTCAGGGCTTGCGTCTTGGAGCGAAAACTGTGGAGTGAGAAGCACCTGGCGCCTGGTTTGATGTTTGTGCCGTGGGCTCTACGGTACGACCCTGGGCGGCTGGGGAAGTGCCGGGCACGACCCTTGGGCAAGCCGACCCAGAAGTGTGCGCTAAGTATGGAATTGTGTGTTGATTTTGATCCCAAAGAAGTGCAATAGTCTCTCTACTTAGCACACTGCATCATACTCTTTGCAAAGTAAAGTCAACTCAGAATGAATGTGCAGCCTTGAATGAGTAGAGACGAAGGCTCTGGAAGTTGAACTTGCAGGGAAAGTTGCTGCGAAACCGGTGTGCGTTCCGGCTCCTGACCAAAAACCAGAAACCACTGTCACATATACGCATCAACCATGGAAACTGCATGGCATTCCAGACCATTCATTTCTTTCTTTCTTGAAGAACATCATCTCCAGATTCGTCACCAACTATACTTTAAATTACTTCATAGATCTTCCAACTATACACAATTGCCTTATTTAGGCTGGCTCTTTGGATGAAAAGGCATCAAGTGGTTGCACACGATGCGGGATCAGATCCACTGCTCCACCGAGATGTGCTCCCCTGCTCCACCGAGATCTCCAGGAGAAGGTCTCCGGTGCCACGGATTTGCGCACGCTGCACCGCGCCTCCTTGGACCGCGAACCCGACGCCGCACTGCGGCGCAAGCCGCCGGTGCCGCCCGTGCCGGCGGCGCAATCCGCCGGTGCGGGGGGCGGTGCCGGTGTGGCGGCGGCCGGGCCGGAGCAAGCGCAGCAAGTGGGAAGCGCCTGAAGGCAGAAAGCCGGCCCTTGCAGGGGAATTTGCGAAGGCTTTTGGAATATTTTGGAATGTTTTGGATCTCATCTGGAAGGACAGGACTTCGAATGACCTTCGATTCTCCATTTGTTTTGGGTTCATTGAGATGCGGTATATTTGGCCTCGTCACACATGTCGTGAGATGATCATGAAATTTGGCCTGTGGGACTTCCTCCTTGTGTTTTTCTTTGATCTGCACCTACACTCACTGAAACAATTATGGAAGTGGAATCCTTGGAACAGTTCAGCCTTTGGAAGACCATGTTCCTTTGCAAGGGGGGTTGGCGCAGCATGGCTCGGCTTCCATGATTAGTCCAGGGATGTTGTGATTTGTTTTTTATTCTCATGTTTTGGTTTGATTGTGATGCAGACTTACACCCAAAGGCCATTGCATCCCTTGTATCACGGTGGGTTATTCCTGCAAGGCGAGAAACCATCCAAAAACTGCCTACCAGGGAACGGATGAAGTCCATTGTGCCTGGTACTTCAGTCATTCAACATCTTCCAAGTAGAGACACTGCAAATTCAACCACTGACACGCCCTGCGAGTCCCGTCACGGTTGTGATCGTCGCCGCTAGGGGCGTGGGATGAATCGATTCATCCCATTTGTTGATATAGAACAGGTAGGTAGACCCTCACTCTCCTTGGCGATCACTTACTGCACCCTGCCGGGCCCTGCTGCTTTCAACCGGACACAAAGCCTGTTCGGGATGCACAACATGTCACATCCGTGAGAAGGATTTGCTTGAAAAGGTGTTCAGATGCGGCTTGATTTTAGTTGTATGCGCTACTTGCCGCGTTCTTGGAGGGAGAAGGCTCTTGTTCATCCAATGGTTCTTTGGTGTATACTCTCCTTGAAACTGTCAATAATAGGAGAGGAGAGGAGTATGCAATTTGCAGTCCCAAATGCCACGATTGTTGCAATTGCAAAATATACACTTTTCTAAACCATGGGGAAGCAGGCTCTTCAGCTGTGAAGAAAGACGAACATGAAAGCCATGCAGCATGCACATTATTCTTTGTGCTTTTTGAACGTTACAGAAAACCACGGCTGAAGACCCATGAAGACCCACGGCCCGGTCTGCTCCGAACATCTTCCCCAGACGGCTTCTTGAGCTGCCACGGTTTACTCCACCCCTTCCTAACCCGTGGCATACCAAGCAGGACTCCTACCTCGGTGGGTGGGGCCCTGGGGTGTCAAACTGCATCGCCGTCTGAGGATGTTGGAGAGGCTTCACCATTGCACACCACTGGGTCGGTCGACCATTTTGGATCTCTTGGACCGATGGAATGTGCGTTTTCTTCGTGACACGTAGCCGGAGGAGAACACAAAGTTAAAGCACTGCCAATCGCACTGCATCTAGTAGCGTCCGATCGCTCCAAGTAGCGATGCCAGGAGCTACTAGTAGCATCCTTAGCTCCGGTCGTAGTAAGGCCAGGAGCCCCGGTCGTAGCGTCCTTGTTCCGTGCTTTCTTGGCTTCGCAGCTTTCGCCCTTCACTTGGGGGGGCGCGGTCTCCCCGTGGTCTCCGCGTGGTGGACGTACAGACCAGCATGGCTTGCGTCTAGGCCGGGGAGGGGATCGGAGGGAGTCACCAGCAGGAGATCGCGGTTTGGCACGGTTCTCTGAAGGACTATAGATGCAACTGATGCAACACAGCTTTAATAGCGATGGCCCTGGCCTCCACCCTAGTAGCGATGGCCTCCAACCTAGTAGTGATGGCCTCCACACTAGTAGCGATGACCTCAACCCTAGTAGTGATGGCCTTCACCCTAGTAGCCAGGGCCATGATGCAACTGATGTAACAAAGCATATATACGTGCCAGTCAATCGTTGTTGGTTTCGATGTGTGATTTCTGGGATTTGTTATTTCCACCTTCAGTCTGGTAGAACGACGCACCAGCAACTCCAGTAGGACGGGCAGAGGCACTCGCCATGAAGGTAGATCGCACTGTCGATGACCCAATCTCCAGTTCATGAGAAGAAGAGCTGTTTGTGACCTCTGACTTGGTTTTCGTCAGACATGGGCCTGCATGGGTCTCGAATCGAAAGGACAGCGACAGCATGAATCAGATGCTCGCAGGATGTTCCAAGCGTTCAGCTGAGCCGACTTCGAAAGAACAACCTCGATGACCCTCACCATTCGGGTGGCCTTAGAGCCCAAAATGATTGGGCACCTGTGCACTTTCGGCATGGTGTGGACTGGTGTGTGTGTGTGTGTGTGTGTGTCAGAGCGGAGGACCAGGTAGAGAAACCTGATTTTCTCATGAGGCTTCTTGAGTTCAACCCAGATAGACCTGTGAGGTAGCTGATCTTGCACCAGAAGCTCTGAAAGCTTGGAGGGTTGGCAGCGCAGCTCGCCAGATCAGCCCCACTCCTCCGTGCCATCCACGCGATGCACGCAAGCAGCTCCAGCTTCCCCTCGGTCCGGCCACCCAGATGGCAGGTGACCCTTGGCCAGGTGCTTTGGGTCTTCAGATGGTTTTGGGCCTTGAGGCTACAGTAGGTGTCACTTCCCTGTTAGGCCGGCTTGAAGAAAGACACCCAAGGCTAACATTTGTGGTACCAAATGGCTTGAATGTTGGAGTGTGCATTTATGGTGGGGTTCTTGCGAAGCGATATTTGTGTTTGTGTGTGTGTGATTCAGCGGTGCCCATGTTGCCTGTTTTGGGATTCGTCCAAAGGGTTCAGTTGTTGGTTTTGCAATGCTTTGCACTTATGACATTCTGGCACTGATATGTGTTGCTTGTTGATCAAAACTGTTTGCTTATTATGTCAATGTTGTGTGCATAGAATGTATGAAGTCCTTGCATCAATGGGAAAGGTGTCTTCTTTCTCCTTTCCTGTTCACTTGACCATGACCACCCTATGTTCAATTCCCCCCCACCACCTTGCCGCATCCTTTCGCATATTTGGAGTAAAACATCAGCAACTCACATCCTAGTAGCTTCCTGCTACTAGTAGAAATGCTAGCAGCTACTAGGAGCTTCTTGTTCCTAGTAGCGATGCCCTTTGTTCCTAGTAGGTCCTAGTAGCTTTTGAAGAAACGTTGGATAAATTCACCCGAAAATGGTCTTCGCTTCCCACCGTGCTTCGTCGATCCGTTTGGGGGGTAGAACATGAGCCTGGCGCGGGTGAAGAGGCACGGTGAAAAGCATGGGAGCCGTGCCTGGCATGGCTGTGCGGGGTAGACCGAGCACTCGTTGACCGCTTTTAGGAATCGAAGATGGACCTGGAACTGTGGGTCCGCTGTATGCCCAGACCATCTATGTATGGCACAGGTTCGTGACAGGTAAATCATATAAACTCTTCCAGTGGCATGGATGGTCTGGTATGAACCACCTCAGGGTGATCGATGTGGCTCAAAACATGACGTGCAGCCGCCCTGACAAGTTATCATGTTGTCCATTTTCTCCGGGTGTTTTGCGAGACATCCAGGGGCGCCCCAGTTTCGAGCTATAGCCATTTACATCCATTTGGGGTCATAAATGGTGTATACACTCCTTGAAATAAGCATGGAAGTGGAGGGACAACAACCTTTTTTGGTGCTTGGTGTTTGGTATTTACATCCCTTCGGGGCCATGCCATCCATGCACCCATGATTCCAGGGAGTGTACATAGGGGACTGGGCTCCATACACGGAACCACCCAGACTGACTGGGAATAGAACTGGGATGACTGCCCATGAATAGGATAGAACTAAGATAGCGTCGCTACTAGTAACAAGGGCATCGCTACTCGTAACAGTAACAAGGGCATTACTACTAGTAGCAAGAAGCTTAGACCAGTAACAAGGGCATCGCTATGCTTTGCCCATGAATCCCTTCACCGAGGCGGTCTCCTCTGTCCTTTGGACGGACGCTCGACCTCCCACGGTGGGGCAGCGACGGAGCTCCCTGCAGCTTGGGCCGGAAGCTGGCCGAGCTCGGTGGGTGGGAATGAACCTATATAAGAATATAGGCTTCAGTCCCCACCTCCAAGTATGGGCTTCAGTCCCATTTGCGGAGGGAGACCCCTTTTTCACCGAACAGTGTGGTTACACTAGGGATTCTTACCGTAAGGCAAGGGTTAAGGCCCTGGTGTTGATCGGGTGGTGCTCATCGGAGCATTTGGCTAAGTTGCCGCTATTTACGTGCTATACATTGCCGATTCATGCCTTTGGAGATCTTCGAAGTGCATTTGGATTGCGCGGGCTCGCAGACTCAGCGAGCATGGAAGATGCCGCCTCGTGCAATTGCTGGAGCCTGTCGACGTTCCTTTGGTGAATGGCAAGCCTGCTGAATTTGAAAGGGCTTCGCCCAAAAGTTACGCAGGCCTTGCTGGTGTGGGTGGCTCATCGGGATGATGCTGACCAGAAGGAGTTGCAGCAGAGCAAAGCCGTTCTCCTCAGCATTGCGAGTTCATCAAGTGTGATTCTTTCGGTGCCGCGGTG